CACATGTTTCCGGGCAAACCTGAGAAGACAGTTAGCTCGAACATTGCAATCCACCCATTGCTAATATGAACGTATTGATTGCTCTGCAGTGATCAATTCGCATGTATGAGCGCGACTGCGTTATCGAATTGAGATATGTCTAAGTAAAGGGCTATATCTCCTCAGGAAAGCAAAATCGCTCAACAAAATATATGTTTTTCTGAACGAACAGATCCAGTTGGATCGACTGGTGTAAAAAAATTCATATGTTACTGGGCAAACCTGAGCTTACGGTAACCTTGAATGTGGCACCCGAGATAGTGTTAATAAAATGCCTATATCTCCTCAAGTAAGTCAAATTGCTCGGTAAAATTTATAATATGCTGAATCTATAGGTTCTGCTGGATCGAACGGTGAAAATAAAATCATGTTTTTCCGTGGAAACTTGAGAGGACTATTAGCTCGAAAGTCGCGATCCGTCTGTTGTGATATTAACGGTTACCCGGTCGGTTCGTCTATCGACATTTTGTCTAACGACAGTTCGTCTAAAGACATTTTGAGGAGATAAAGCCATTTTCTTAGATCTATCACAAATATATAGCGCAGTCTATCATAAACAGTTAGCGCAAATAGATAGTGCTAACAAAATCAAGGTTTCTTATCAATCCACAATTGTCACTGCAGCAGTATCAACAACAACTGTATAATTAACAGTATCAGTATTAACAGGAGCAGTTACATAACCAACAAGTACGACACCAAGGCTCTAGGAAGAGCCACTTTAGGAGTTTCAACGTTGTTTCTTTATTCATTTTCCTTTTCACTAGGATTCGAATAAATGATAAGCGACACAACCACATTTTCCATAGTTTATTTTCACTTCATTTTGAATTTAGAGACCATAAAATAAAATTCAGTCGTGGTCAGTGACCACATTTTCTGCATGCTTCATTTTTTATTCATCCACCCATCTGTAAATATTGTGAATTATATGTTTTTAAATGTTCTTAATTATTTGTCAGTCACGATTTGTGTATATTGAACTCATGATGGGCATTTGATAATACAAGCACCGATATCCAGTGGTAATTTGTCGAATTATATCATGTGATTTTGGAGTTGCTTATGGCACCTCGTATTTCTCAACTGAGGTGATCTGTTTAGTGCTTTTTGACTTACTATTAGTTGTTTATGTAATTTATGCTATAGTACCATTATTATTTTGAGCTACTGTTATTATTGTTCAATGTGATGTATTTAATCCTTGTATTGTCATATACAGAGAAGTTTCATGGGCTATCATGATCACCATTTATCAACCATTTTCTACAGTATCCACAAATTTCTATTAACTGTTTCAAGGGACTCTGGATGACACTGATGCATATATTCTGATAATATTGCAATTTATGTTCTGTAAACCCTCGATCTAATCTCTTCAGAAATGAAAAAATCTCGCCCGAAACAATCCCATACCGATGGATGAAAATTTGGTGGAATCTGAATTGGCTCATTAGATCTTGATTCTCATTTGTGCTTTCTTCGTGTGAATTAATTGATTTGTACACATAATATCAGATTCATTGTTAGCCATTGCTAGAAATCCTTTCATTAATTATTTATTTGTTCATTTTGTATATGTTTGGTGACATTCTTTTTTGTAGTTTTCAAGACATACGTACGCTTCAAGTTTATAGTTGATCAAACAGTTGACGCCTAAAATTGCTATCGAAACTAATCTCACTGAGATTATACTTCATATCGTAGGCAAAGAATGAAGCAATGTTGAGCTATAATGCGATATTCCTTCGCGATATTTGTCGCGATGTTTTTAGTATCGTTCAGAGGTTTCAATTTGATTGATGGTTTCTCTCATATCGCTTGCTCCTTCACTGGCTTCATTGGCATATTAATTTTTGTTGTGAATAAGCAGTAATTAGTAGTGATTGCATCCGAGCGAAGTTTCATGTCGGTCGGAATCCAACTGACGTGACTTTTAGTCATTCCGACAGTCGGAACGGTTCGATCGGAATCCGACCGACCTGACATTTTGAATTTCCTACAGTCGGAATTCCAAGCAACCTTCCAAATTGTTCGGTATGAATTTGAATGTCGGAATCCTGACCGAAATTGTCGGATTGTTCCTACCGACCGTCGGTCGGATATCATCACTTGTGGATAGTATGTCGTTCATTACGGATTCGGTTCATTGGTGATGCCAGTTAAGAGGATCGGAATATTTATCATGTTTATTTTGATCACACACTCAACTTCTGTAGTACTGCCTCGTTTTTTCTATAATCTTCACTCATGCCCAACTCTTATTGTTAGCAGTGTATTGTGAACAACCTCTAATGGTATTTCCATGATCTCAAGCCAGGCCTCTAACCACACGGGGCTTAGCCCCTCCTATATTTTCAATCATCTCATCAAATTTTTTCGATGTTTTAAAGTAGTGAATACAATGCTGTACATCACCACTCACCAAAAATAAGGCGGACACTATAAATGGGCGGGACCGTGAGCGTTTTCCTTCCTTATTGTTAGCCGCCCCGGAACAGAATAGAATAGAATAGAGCAGCAGAAAGACGGAATAGAACAGAATAGAACATTTTGCCAATAGTGTGGAATAAAAACACCGTTAGTTATGAGATTAAAATACTGTTTAATAATGAGTGTTACAGATGCATGCAACTCTACAGATGATATGTCTGCAGAGTTCATTTTTTAAAATTACTAAACGAAACTGCAAATGTGAAACAAAATTGAACAGTAATGAGAAATGGTTGCAAAAATATAGAATTTTATGCGAATGTATTCCAACGGTCACATGAACAAAAATGTTCACATTTGTGAATCAAATTGAAAATAAGAAAATGTTGAATGGAGTATTGAAATATGACGTCTGGTGGCATTTATTGATAACTATCATGAATCCTCTCGGAGCATGCGCCCCAGTCGACAATATGAAGTACATCATTCAACTGAATATTCTCGTTCGTCAAATAGGTCAGATTCTGAAAGCAATCATCAAATCCAATCAGCCAACTCGAGTACCGACTTCAAATCAAGTTCCATTACAACTCTACCAGCATAGATTATTCATGTTCTTAGTCAATGTTTACTGAATTTTATAAATGAGTTTCAATTCATTGCGCGTACTCATGTTTCGTTGAAATCCAGCTGTGACAAAATGAATCGCTAAAGGTGCACCGTTATTCATTCGGTGTGGATTACAAAAAAAAAAAACACGAGCATACAATAATCTCCAGTCATTTGATATCATTGAAAATGAAAAATCATTCGAAGTTACCGTGATCGATGATATAAGAAGCATAATGCGTGCCATACGAAACGCAATGAACTCGTTTGTTTGCGCTGGATTATTGAATCGAATATGATTGTAAATGACCCGCAAATAACGATCGAGCATGTCCCTCATGTGCTTCTGACCATCCAACGAGACATCTATCAACTCTGTAGGCACGTTCATATATGCCTTCGCCATTAGTTTCAGCCACTTCCACCAACTTCAATACAGGCTTTCTCTAATTACTTCTCCTTCGTGAAACACGAATCGCTAAGTCTAAATTCAAATCGCCATAGCAATTCGGTGGAAATTTTAAGAACTCATCGGTTCCATAAACTAATTCGTAGGCTTGTCCCAAACAGCAACATTCTCATAAGATCTAGTACAGTCTTGATGAAAGAGTAAAAACCCTTCCTTCATATATTTCTAGAATATTTTTAAAGAATGACGATAAAATTGTCTAACCATCAACAAATAAACAAATAACGAAAACAATGCATCGTTCTGTTTCATCAATATTGAGTTCTTTTAAAGGATTCACTAACGTCTTCATCATTTGTGATGCAACACCTCTGGAATTAGTGATCATTGAATGGAAAACTTATCGGAATTGACGAAATGAAACAATGAACATAGTTTCTGAATTGTTATAAAAATAACAAGAGGGATATTTGTGAGCTGAGTATTTTCTCAGACCATGTTTGAATCAGGCTAAAACAACTGCTCAATGAAATGGCGATGATGCTGAATAATATCATCCACACTAAACGAACGTTGTTTACGTGGACAAGAAATGGTGAACGAGAAATGAATGCGCAATCGTCACTTCTGTTGTATTGGTTTTAGAAAAGGACTCTCATCACACGCAAAAATGTACATATCAATATATACCACTCTTTCGCGAGGTATTAAATATTAAATAACTTAAAACTGATGTATACCGAATGTCAGGAAAACATTGATGTTTCAATTCAACAGGAAAATATGCTCCATTCGCGTAACATATTCCATTACAGCCACACTGTGCTGACCAATTACCACATAACCACCAATAAAATGGGCCGAAGCGATGCTTGGCTGTAATGATCTGGAATACTTATACAAGAGAATTTTTGGTGTATAAATATGCAGTTATGGAAATGATCAATTTCATTTGCTAAGGGTAGAAGTGAAAATATTCGACCATCAATAAGACGTCCATAATCATAAAGGATCTACTGCTCTGAATTTGCTTTCAAGCAAAATAATTGAAGATTGTAATGATTTGTGCAAAACGCAATAGACTAATTAAAATATCACGTTAGTTTACTGGTTCTCAAACTTTTTGCTCGCCCGCACCCCTTAACAAATTTTAAGATGTCCTGGCACCCCCTACAACAATAATTAAAATGATCTCGCTCTAAATCTCTCATCCACTGCAGTGAGTGTCTATGGTGTAGATAAGTGTATATCATTAGAGTACGTTCTAGCCTTTTCAAAATATATACGTTGAAGTTCATGTTCGCCTTCACTATATATGCTGAAGTTCGCCCTCGCCCACTTTAATATACAAAAACTGAAATGTTATCTCGCGCCACCTAAAAATCTACTTCGCACACCCAAATGGTACAAGCACAACCTGCGTTAGGTCATAACTAGTTTAAGTAATATCAAAATATTGTTAAGCGTACTCACAACTCCAGAGAAACTGCTCAGCAATAATGATAGTTTCTAAAATTGACTATACAGAATAACAAGATGAACGGGAAATTAATGCACAATCAGTTTTGTTGTTTTTGGTTCTTGGAAAAGTTTACATCATGTGTGTAAATGTACGGGAACGCGGGTAGCACTCCTCCCGCGCAACTTGCTCGCCGACTTATTCGGCGGGTACTCCCCACCCCCGTCCAATTTTCTCACCACGAGATCCCCCATCCAGTTTTCTACCCACGGGGTTTCCCCGTCCGAAAAAACTGCTCCCCAACGAACACTACGTTAGTATATAGCACTCTTTTGAAGGGTAATGGAGCATTGATGTTTCGATGCAAGGTACACGGTTTTTAAAGTAAGACCGATTCTATCAGATTATAAATATAATCACCTGATCTTCATTGCTCATCGTGTTGAATTCATCAAATTCTCTAAGCCAATCCACATAAAGGACGAAGCAGCGCCGCCAATCTTGAAGTACATCACCCATTGAAGCAATTCGTTCACCCGTTGGTGTCAGCTGAATCGAAACATTACTTAATTCTGAAGTTCTCTTAAAACTTGAGGGAACAAAAAACATGACACGACAGAAAACGTATTCATGACACTTTCTGAATCATCGACATGATCAATCCATGAATCAGTTTCAAAATTACCTAATATGACTCAGAAATGCCATTCAGAAATAACGTCTCATTCAATACTTTGATGGCATTTAGTGAGGCCTGACCGAATAGTTGTCATTGTTGAACACTTCATATTGTTCATGGAAATAGCACGAAAAGGATACGAATTTTCAAGAAATTAGCCTCTCATATAATTAATCCATTGATGTAATCATTGAAACCTGATTAAGCAAACAACAGCGTTGCAATTAAAGTCGCACACAGCCTCCATCATGGACAAATGCATAATTTAATTTTTACAACAGTGTAAAAGGAAGTTTTTGGGCAAATCTCCTGTGATCTGAACAAATGAAGAATAATTTTGTCACAAAAAAATGCTTTCACGCCACAAAACTGAACCATATCGGTTGTTCCATTGAACAAATATTACAACTATCCGGTCAGGCCTCACTAAATGCCATCAAAGTATTGAATACAAAAACATCTGGTTAATGATGGTGTCAGGGAAATTGAAACTCACCCTAGAGCGACTGCAGATGAGAAGAGGATTCTGAAAGGCATCGGCGAATGATATATGACTCCGTGACGGAGGACAATTCGATGGTTTATCATTCCGCTTACATACACGATTATGAAGTTCGACGATTTGCTCGGCAACTCTTAAGAAGATTCCATTAAAACATTCAACTATCAGACATTCACCAGCACCATTCAGCTTACAATTTGTCAATTGACGAGGTCTATAATCATGGCATGTCTTTTCGAACAATTTTGTTGTAAATGGCACATTACGCAGACAATTAAATCCTTTTCATTAAAGTATTGCATAAATGCGATTATCATCTTTCACGTATTCATCCTCAGAGTGATAATGAAATATAACAAATACCTGAGGAGTTCATTGTCATACGCAATTAATGACTGTCGTTCATTTGTCATGCAAACAACATTTTGAATATTGTTCGATGAATTTTGGGACATCACATAATCGGTTTGTGTACCAACATTAACTAATTCTGTATCAATTTCAACTGCACTCGTACATACCGTCTCATCACCATCGTCATCAACATCTGCTCTTGCGTTATTATCTGAACGCTCACGTTCACTTTGAACAGCTGCAAATTTTCATTGCTGATCACATTTTTTTAATGCTATTAAATGAATAGAAGTGATGATTGTTGAACGTTTTATTGGTTTGGTTGGAAATTATATTCTGTCGCATCCACATTTTCAGCAAGTCTTTTGGATGTATGTGCAAATTACAGCCAACTTACAAGCGATTTCAAAATTCTCAGTTAAATCACATCTATATAAATTAAATGTAGAGAGGAACGATACGCTTAACATTTTAACACTTTCACAAAAGATCTATTGACCTCGCTGTGGAATAAATTTCAGATCAAAATTACAAGATTAGAGCATTCTATTGTAACTAGTGATGTCTCTATTCCAGTTAAACTGTTCTATTCCTGTTTTATACCAAGGTATAGAATAGAACAGTTCTCAAACAAGGAACGCACAGAATAGAACAGAGTTGTTTAAGAGCGGGATAGAATAGAATTTAACAGTTCTCAAAAAAGGACGCAAGAACGGAATAGAACAGAATAGTTTTCAAAAAAGAGTGCACAGGATAGAATAGAATAGAGCCGCTTAGGAGCGGAATTGAATTGAATAGAACATTTTACCAAAAAGGTGGTATAGAGACGTCACTAACGACAAGTGTAACGGATGACAATTATGAATTGAATAAGAAATAATTTAGGAAATATTTCTTTACCACCTCTTGGATTCATACCAACAAGGAAACATTGCTTCAAACGACATGCACGACATACGTTACGATGTTCTGCAAGCAATACTACCTTATGATTCTTTTAATACATTTCTGAACGAGTTTTGCACATAATCAAAAGTCATATCTTGCTTTTTTCAGTTTACAATCATTCGTTGGAGATCAATTGAGGAATGTTTCAAGAATCGCGAGCTACTGAAAGCATGTGCAGAAAGAATGGCTCTAAAAACTGTCGGTTTCAAGTGTATTGTCTAATTCTGTAAGTGAGACGTACGTCATTTTAACGACTATCAATTAATGTTACGTGCATAAAATTCGCGTGAATCGCATTTAACAACTACTCATCTGATTGCACGTGAAACATATTGAAACATGACGTATATTGGAACTTAAATTAATTGTTTAAAACATCCCTATACCACATTTATTTCACTGATATTGAAAAGTTCAGTTGTAGTGCAAGGAACTATGAGGGGTTCAATATAAATAATTATTCAAATACTAATGAATGGTAGCCGAACATCTACAAGCCATTTGCGAATATCGTTTTTCTAACAGAAATCAGTTACACTTTCAGAGTACTTTGTTCCAAATTAGGATCAAACTAACACTGCGTAATATCAGTTCATCAAAGTAATAATGTTTCATGCTGAACAATCACCTAAAAATTTTGAGCTTTTTTTCGGAGTTGGCGTATTTCTAAAGAATTAATCATATTCATTCTTGAATCCTTACACAGAAACGCCCATTAAAGGATTAGAATATCAACACAAATGCACCTTTCGCAATTGCACACATTCCGTCGAATCGGCAACAATACTGACGATTGTGCCATACACTGAAATTAAGAACGCTTTAGAAACCTGATGAGGCGATCATTCATTTTACAACTGAATTAATTCGCATGTAGTCAGTTTATTGGACCAGTACATAATTATCAATCATTGCTTTTCGTTCACTGTCAATATAAATCAGATTTTACTTTTATTTTCGGAATACACCAAAAAAATTTACTTGTGTGGTCAAAACGTAGCACTTATTAATCTATCAAATAAACACAACCGTAATTTACTGTAAACACTACTGAAAAGTGCATGCAATGCAAGTAAAATTGCATTTAATGATCACAAATGTATGAGAAGAATAACAAAATCGTTCCGATACCAGACACTGATTTGCTCAAAATGTGAGAACAATTTGTTGAATGTGCATTTAAGCATATGAAAAACAACCGTGAGTTTTCTCTTCATTAAGAACTTCTTTGTTTTATAAGACCACTAAAAGTATATGGTGCATACCTACGTCTGAAAAAACCTTTACATCCATTGCACGCGTTCACACCATAGTGCTTGCCAAACGCCTAGAAATCAATTACTGACGGGTGATGTGAGTGAGGCAATCAACATTTCAAAAAGCAATTTTTATAGCAATTTTCAACAATATCCTTTTTCCTCAAACTTTCGACTGTACAAGTTGAAGGATCGAAAAGATGCAAGATAACTTTCTTGCGAATGATAAGAGATTGATACCGTGCACTGCGAATCACGTTAAACCTCTTACGGTCATTCTTTTCGGTGAGTAAACTCCATGGTCGAATTTTAAGAACGAAACTTTAGGACAACACTTCGATATTGAATTGTTAGGAGAACAGAATTTCTATGTCATATTGATATGTATTTGTGTTCGGTTTATATGAAAGAGAATTTCAAAGAAGCTGACGTGCTGAGCGTAACAATATACCTTATCACCACAAACTGCACATGTGAACTTCATCTTACGTTTCGAGCCGTCTTGAGATTCTGGTGATCCTGGTTCAGTGTTAGCTGATGATTTACCATTCAGTTCATTCGTTGATGTAAATGAAAATGCTCCGCCATTAACAATATTTGATGACCGAAAATTGTTCATTGCGAATAAGGAATCCATTATTTTGCGTGGTCAATCTGAACAGAAGGATTATAAACTTAAAACGATGATTCAGTTTTGTTAATGAACCGATGGAAAACTTGAAATAATGTACGCAAGAAGTGGATCAGAATACGATTTTATCAATAAAGCGATGAACTTCCAAGAAAAGGTTGAAGAATATTAGGAACATGATTTCCGAATTAGAGGATGGAGAATTGCTACGTGAAAATCGCAGCTGCTTATATGAATTCTCAACAGTTCAAATCCATTAGATGAAAAAAGAGTTGAAATTTGATCTCATTCAAGATAAATATCACATTAAGAAATATATTCCTGACTTTTAAAATCACTTTTAGTAACTTCAATTTTCCGCTTACTTCCCAGTCAGAAAGAAAAACTGAATGAACAAGAAGATGAACCGTGAATTTACTATTAATTTCATCTCACTTTCACCAACTCAAAGATCACGTCAATTGAGAGGAGAGTGTAATGAGTTATTTGAACTGAGCGATACCCACATTAATAAATTATTCAACGATTCATTTGGATGAGTGCAACGCTTATTTTGTACAAAAATTTTAAAACGTATTGCCTGCCACTGTGTTTGAATATCATTTAATGCGTCATGTCATGTCATGCTATGCCATGTCATGTCATGCTGTTCATCCAAATATGTCAATATTTATTTTACAATAAGCTTTCCATTAGTTCTTCTACTGAAACAATTAGTTCAGCTTTATTTGTGATTTAAAAATATTGGCAATTCACAGGCTACTCATCAAATCTGCACAAACTCAAATCCTCATTAAACCATATTTCCAACTGATAAACAAAAAGGAACCAAATCAAATCTAACCAAACCTTTCAAACAACGAGATAAAGCATTTCAAACAAGTTCATCATAGCAACTGAATATTTTCATTATACGCACAAGGCAATTATTTCGTAAAGCACATCAAAATTGAAAACGCAGTCATGAGGAATAATCGATGAATGTGGAAACATAAAATTTTGAACAGATGATTCAAAAAAAGAACAGCCACACCAAAGTGAGGCAATAGGTGCATGAAAATAAAAATTGATTCATGCAATACGTTGATGCGACGTGCATTAAATCAACAACATTTCACTTACATAAGTGTGTCATGCGTCAACAAAATAATGTTTGAATGCATTAAATTCAAATCTGATTAACAGACGAGTGAAAGACAGAACAAACAAATTATTCAATTAATTAAAATTTTTCTTCCAACTTATTGTTAGATATTTAGCATATTCAATAGTAATAACATACACTATCTTCATCATCAACAGTATCGGTGCTGGTAAAGTCGTTTTTGTAAATCACAAAAGCTAAATTTTGTGAATTCAATTCCGTTTTCGTCATGAAACATTGTATATTGCAGCATGTGAAGAATAAGCAAGAAACTATGATGAGGTAAGTCTAAACTATGATAATTCAAAAGAAAATTCTGGGGTCTCAAAGAAATTTCCAATGCATATGAATGTTGAGTGCGTCTGGAATCCCAAAAGGTATTTCTGTGAGCAACCGATTTAATGGCAGCTATATCTCAGACGCTCAGTCAATGACTCATTCAACACAATAATGGCATTAAAAAATCCCACAACTCTTTGATTGAGATCGAAAAAAGCAGAACAACTGTTTACTTCGTTTAATTCATCAATCTTGTTTTTCACATTTATCAACAAACCAATTCTGATAAAGTCATCCATCAGAACTGAAGAATTTGATTTTAGACAGACTGCTGAAGTGACATTTTGAATCAACATCTGTCGATAAATAATTCAGATCGTTTTGTTGAACTGATTGTGAATGAAATGAATGAGGATAGATTAATTTTCGATGAACTATAGGAAGAAGAATGAAAGTTACGTGAACACGTTATAATAAGTGAGGCAAATTTATCATGGAATAAATAATCAGAAATCAGATTCGTTCATTCAACAACTGTTTACATCCCAGTTTGGAACAGATCGCTCACGTTAGTGATGCTTTTATAGGGATATTTCGCGTCGTTCCCATTGATAAAGCTTCTGCCACGCTCATACAGTTCAGAAAATCCTCGAATCAACTTTTTTTTTCTGACTTTATGAACAGTAGTCAGTTGAATTAAAACAAACAAAGTTGCTGAAGTGAATCAATTTTAACAAAATTGTTTGTCATCGAGTTACCTTATTTGCATCCGAGAAGCGATTTTATTACATTGCACTCACGGATGCAATTTTCATTTCGTATGACATACTAGTGAAATTTATTAGCCAAAGACGTGTGCAGAAGCGAGATCGGAGAGCAAGGCTAGAGGACAATGAAGAAACGCAGGAACCTCATTCACTATCATCGCTAAGTTACTATTCTTTCCATGTCTGTGACGATGATTCATATGATCATTTTTTCAATATACGAAGCCATATCAGTATCAAAATATTTTTTCTGCTTGATACTCTCAATTAATGCGATAATTCCTTTCAAAGGGAACTTACTGATTGATTCTAAAGTTATCAAAATTTCCCAAACATAACAGCATATTCTGATCAGTAGCTCAGCCATAGGTGATGTACAAAAGCATGTTTCTTTAGGGTGATACGACTATGGATTGCATAAGGGTGATAGTTACAAGATCTGTCG